AGATCTGTAGATTAGATGAGACGTAGTGAGTGTGATGCGTCACATCCGTTACACAGGCACATTCCTGATTTGGCGGACAAGTGATGCTTCTCCTGACTTGTAAACAACGTAGCTCAGTCATTTCTCCACCGATTTACATGAAAAAGAATGCACCGGAATCGTATAAATAATATCTATTCAGATGTATAAAAATATACAATGTATTTGACTTTGATGGCTATGCAGCAGCACCTATTAACCCAAGGTTGCCTACTTGAGCTATCTGCTTCACAACAGATAGGATTTCAGCTTAGATTTGCAGAGACAAAATCATCGATTAGTATGTGGCTTTAATCCTACGAGTCCAGAATTTTAATTACTACCCCTTAACCATGTTAAAGTGCCCATTTTCAAGGCTATCTCGGCACATGGGCCACAAATAAAATTTCTGGACTTGTAGATCGATTGTAATTTAAATTCTAAGTAAAATCCTCCTACAAATCATGTTCATATGTGCAGCGGTTGAAAAGTTATTAACCAATCTCTCCAGAGTGCCAAATTTGGCAGGGAAAACAGGCTGATTGCGCATTTTTGGAGCAATAACTACAATTCTTACATGGAAAACTCTCTCAGTGGATTCATTCACTTAATTCCATCAAACCCATTGTAAAAAATATATTGAATTGGTGTTGTGGAAAGTACAAACTCAATGTCTCAAGAAATTGGCTGTGTGACACTGTCACATGGCATGTCACTGGTCGTCACACTTAGCAGGGATTGTGCACCACCACTCTTAGTCCCACTGAATAGCAGATCGAGGTGTCTACGACAGATCATCACCACAGTAACGTTCAACAGCCCCGTTTCTGTGAGCGCAGAAACTTGACAAGAAGTTTCTTGGGTAGTGCTTGGAAGTCCGGTTTTTTGCCTTTTTGGTCAGTTTTGCTGCTAGCACGTTGCCATTAAAATTCCCCAATGAATCTGGGGCACCAGAAAAGTAAAATTTTCCGGTCTTAGACTGGAAAAAAGACTGGACTGACCCTGAAATTTTGTGTTCGTAAACCCCAATTGTAGCAGGGAATTTTTATGGCAATGTTCTAGCTCAAAAAAAGGGTTGAAAAACCGAAAAACCGGACTTCCAAGCACTATTCTCGGGACCGATCAGTCATACGTGCTCCTTCGAACTCTGAGCGTTCTGGTCGTTCCGAAAAATCGTTGAACCGAATTCCTGCCTCGTGATCGCTGAGCCCGTTCTCCGCCCCAGGTAGCACGATCGGAGACCGACGAGGCTAACGCCAGCCCCTTCTTTCTCTCGACGAACGACAAGTTGGACTTGGGAGTTTCGCGGGTAGCAGCAGGACTACACAGAATCAAAGGCGCGGATGGCCAAGAATCCTCCTACGTAACTGTGTGGACAGGCTTGCGGGTTCTAAGCCTCTTAATCAGCTATAAGTAAACCAAGTTTTATCCAGCAGCATCGCAGCAATAGACATTTCTGAAGAGAAAGGCATCAGAAAATGAACTCCATGTGTGTGTACGAAACACGGAAGAAGACGACCTAAAGGTGACTGACGTGAAGATGATCCCCTAGCTGTGATACCTATTCTTCCAAGGCAGATGTCGAGCACTTTGTAAACCTTCGTGCCTCCATAGAAGGCTCCGGTAGCGTATCTGCACGGGACACGGTGTTGTTACCGCATAACTTCTTGGGATGTTCTGACGTGGATGCGTCTGGAATTCGAAGAGTTCGCTTGGGAGGGCTGTGGGTGAAAGGTGAGACGAGGGTAGATGTTGTTGGATACAACAAATCAGCAATTAGTACCTGTGTACTCTGGATACTAAGCGTCGACGTGGTTGGGATTCTTAGGGTTGGTGAAGTCAGCCTCATCCTAGTAATCGGTGAACAGTGGTGGTGATGATGGTCACTCCAGTTGCAAGGACTCTATCAATCGCATTCTCCGAACTCCATCTAAAAACATGGAAGATGAGGATAGATTCCAAATTACAACGTACTCACAAGGAGAGGGAAGCCCTAATGTGGTAAAGTATACAACGACGGATAGCAATGACAGAGAACTGGGGGTACCATTGTTGAAGGGCTTGCGGAAAGATAAAAATGAATTAGATAATCACGCTCATCCACTCTTTCCCCTAGCTTGCGGTTGAAAGTCCTCTGCACTCCCAACGATTTCCCGCTGAACGGCCACTTCTTCTCTCTCTCAGGGGTTTGCCCTTTGAAGTTGAAGAGGAGCCTTTGCCCTGCTGTGCGAGCTATTCCTCGACGACGCCTCGACTCAACCATATCCGCGACCTTTCCATCCTGGGCAGAAATGCATCGCCACAGCTTGATGGTCGTGAGATTCGGACAGGTAGTCTCCGATGGGGTGTCCTCGATCAGTTGGTCGTCCCCACCACCCAGAACGTTTTCTGACGAGATGGCTGATGGGGTATACGTCAACCGCCTAAGAACCTCCGTCATGCACATATGCTCTTGGTGATATTCCGTGATAGACAACAAACCCAATGACTTCGATATCTATGGATATACCAGGCACGCCGCTATCTCTGAGATATCACACTCCTGAATGATAAATTGCTTGAGGGTGCAACCTGAACATAGGAGGAATGCAAGGAACTGGGATCGTGGCCACTGGCCAAGCTGTATAGGGGGGTCGGGTGAGGCTCCATGTCATTCGGAGAGCGACAGATCCTTCAGAGCTGGCAGAGTGACTTTGCCGAAAAGAACTGCCAGGTTACCTGCAGTACTTATATGTAGGCATTCTAAAGTGTTGTGGACAAATGGATCGTCGTTGTCGTCGACGGGAAACATACGAAGAAAGAGCGTCAGCTCCAGGGATTTGAGATGAGGACAGATCGTGAGGATACGAAGACCCTCGTTCATAGTGGCAATGGGGCCCTGCGAGAAGTGTGTGAGCTGCTTCCACGGAAAGGAGAGCATTTTGTATGATTTCTCGCTCAGCCAGGTAAAGGAATGGAGCCGTGGTGCCGAGACCATCATGGATTTGATGTGGTCTAGACCTTCTTGTGCCCACCAGTAAGTATACCTCTTCAAGTAAAGGATACGTTGTGTTCATGGAACGGCAAGCAAGCGAACCCAACTATATCAGGCGATGCATCACTGTATCTCAGGCGGACCCTCTGCCATCGAGAGTGATGGGGAATGAAAAGATCGAGCATGGACGCGACTGGTGATCCAGCAGGATGCGCAGAGTTTGTATTGTCGTGTGGAATGGTGGGCGGCATCTGATCAACTCCTGCATGGCTGCTATGAATCTCTTTCTTCAAGCGCGAGGGCTCGAGTAAATAGGGTCGTGCATGCGAGCATATTCCCAAAATTCCGAATAAAATCCAGCAGTCGCCCAATCAATGATCGCGAGCCAAAAAACATTGTTTGGGAAGAAGCCGCTGTGGGCAAAAGACATGGACACGTCGCGAGGTAAGGCAGCGAGAATGTCTTCCACCAAGCAAAGCGGGATGTCATGGCCCAAAAGTTGTTGATGGTATTCGACAAAGTCCGATACGCTGGAGAACGCTTGTGGGAGGCGCCCTCTATGGTGGCCAGGACTTGTTGCGATACGAGTCACCCGACGACGGTTGGCTTAACCGCTAGCTTGGCTTGAATAGATTGCAACTGGGAATCAACAGTATCAATTTCCTCTGGAGTCATTCTATCGATGACTTTGTCGAGCGAATCACCAAGAATCTTTGGTCGACATGTTTCTAACCCATACCCGCAAACGTACAAAATGCATTGTGCGTTTCAACAGAGCAACATTGAACCATTCCTAGACATACCATAGGATCAGTAAGTAGCAACATATAAATCAATACACGCACCCTGTGTTGGCTACCTTGCCTGTTCCCGTCCAAGGCAGGATGAGGTTCTTCATCGGGACAAAGACGCCAAATCATCCCCTCCTTGTCTTGCTTCGCCAGAACCACGTACTCTCTAACCTGAGAAATTGAGCGCCAGTACTTCTTCTCGTTAGAAACGTCCAGAATTTCAGCAGCCGTCATCCTTGCTGGTGGGTGTCTCGTACCCTCAAACTTCCGGAAAATAAGGTTGTCTACACCGGAAGGAGAGTACTGGCAGCTCTGGGTTCTGAGTACGCTCGTCGACTACCACCCATTCATTGGGATTGAGCCTAAGTTGTTTTAAGCGCCACTTATTGAGCGAATTTCATTTC